TCTCTCGGATCAACATCGTTAGATCATATCCAGCAGCAGGGGCGCCACCTCGCCTTCTCGCGACAGGAGAAGCGAAGCCTATTCTATTTACGAAATTAGAATCAGGCTGCACAGAAGAGAGTAAACCCTCTCACAATATTATGAGAGAGGGAGAAGAAGTACTTCGACCTAAGATCAGCAACCCCAGCCTACATGAACCATCAAAGCAAGCCCAAGTACATGGAAGAAGGCCCGCTGGATCTGTCCAAATGATGTTCATCGGTCTCTACCCAAGTAGCTGTGGCCCATGATCCAAAGGACCCGCAACCAGTCAATCATGCTATCCTTACCTTCCAACCAATCGGCCAATCACGCTATCCTTACCTTTCAACCAACCCCTTCGATTCCGCTTCTGCAGCAGTATATAATCTCGGTCCCTTACCTTGATGCCTACAGCTCAATTTGTTTTCCAGTGATGGCAAGAATTCGCGAAATACTGCTTTTTCTTCTTCTTGTGAACTATCTAATTCAATAAAGGCATCATAGCTACACGAGGGAAAGCGATGCTGCCCACTCCGCCGCAAAAGGGGGCCGCTTTCTTCCCCCCCAAAATGCCAGTTCCACCATCAGGGCCCAGCAACCAGCATAATTCTGTTCCGAGGCTGCGTTTCATTCCAGCAACAGTAGTCTATGGTTCAAAACGCCTTGTTCCATCCGGCGCAAATCCCCTCCATCACTAGTATAGTGGAGGTGTTATTTGAATTTGTATTTCAATAATGAATAAAGAACACAAATAATGAGCAGACCAACCCACTTTTATATGTGGGTTCATTTCATAATGTATTTTTGTTTTGAATAAAGAAGCGCGCTCCTGTTAGTGTAACGTAGGTGTGTCTTTCTCGGTTGATGGATGGGATAAATGCCTATATCGCTTTGTAATGTTATTGTCATGTTGATGCTATATTAAAGAATAGAATCTAAAAAAGTTGCTCAAGACTTTTTTCCATTCTCTAGAATTGTTTTTCTCTTACTGTGTAAACAAACTTCAAGTCCTAATTGTACTCGACAGGAAGCGTCACAGCGTTGGGACTTCCTAAAGAAAACGGCGGATCCTCCTCTCTCTACTGGGATTGACTCGCTTAGAAGGAGTCCCATTCCTTTGGCAGGCAAAGGCCCTAACTACAGCTCTGAGTAACTCCTTGTCTCATTGATCCGAAAAGAAAGGCATAAGTCCCACGTGTACTAACCCTCTCTCTATTTTCTCTTTTGAAATCCCTAAGAGCTAGAATGAATCAAAGCCACGAACCGCTGACTGAATTGAATCTTTCAAAGGACATTTGAATGAAAGTCGGCTAAGGCAAAGCACTTTTTTTCTCCATCGGATGTAGCCACGGCTGTTTTCGAATCACTTTCTGCTGCTCAGTCAGAAGATGCTTTGGTAAGCGATTTCGCTTCATCGGAGGATATTCGTCTAGAGTCTGATACCGGGTAATCTTCTTCCGTAGACGATCATCTTTCGCCGAAGAGGAGACCTAGCAGAGTCAGCTTAAATAGCTGCCCTTGTTTTTATTGTCCTTCCCTTCAGCCCTTTGTCCCGGGATTGAATGATTCTTTTGTTCACGGCTAAGAGTGCCGATTCGTTCAAGGCGCTAGGCACCCCAACACCTTAAAGGCTACGCCCCATCTTACTAGCGGACTGTTTCCATATCCAGTGGAACAGCCAAGCGCTGTGGAAAGTCTGCCTGTGGTACAGGGAAAAACCCAAGCAGTAACCTTTTCCAGCTGTTGATTCCCCACATCAGGCACCTGTGGGTGGTAGATGGAATCATTTTCAAGGTTCGAATCCTGTCCCCGCCTCTATAGTAAGTAAATAAAGCATAGAAAAAGTGCGCTCTATAGCTAGCTCCAATTTCAGAGGTTGAGGGGAAGAGTCAACTACGTCGAACCTGGGTCACTCCATTAGCTAGTTGGTAGTCTGAACCTGCACAACGGGAAAGAACCGGTCGGAAGCAAGCCCTCCTTCCTCTCTCGGGAGGCAGACCACGTCCCAAGCCACCTTGGCAGCCTCCGTTTTCTTCGAGAATTGGTGGGGATCCCTTGCAATTCGTTGATGCCGGGCCAGATCTTTCAGCTTTCGCTGCTTCCAGCTCCTCGGCGAGCTCACTTAGATCAAATCCACGTAAGGTAAAACGTAGAGGGTTCCCCTTCCTATCCTTCCTATATAGTAGGTTGTCCGAAGAGAGAATCGGTAATTTCAATATGAAAAGCTAAAGAAAAGGAAATTCACAGCTTGTAGTTGTGAGCCGCTGCTGGGTTGAGGAAAGACTAAACCCATTTCGCCCAGGAAGGATTGATTGCGAAACCCACCAATAATGAATTTGAATTGCAGGATGGATCATAGGATCAGGTGTGATCTCTCGTGTCTCCACCATAATGCCCAGGTTGGAACATGAAATGATATTGATTAGCAAAAAAAGAAGGGAACTAACTCGACTGGAAAGGCCATCAATCAAGCCAAAGGAGGAATCAGATACCCTGGTTGTCTTTCTCCCGTCACCGGGCTAGTCCCGTCTCCCAGAATCTATTGAATCAGGGGAGCGCGCTGGAACAACTACGTCAAGTCGAGAGGCTTCAGTAGCGCATACGGCCGTACTCTTCTTCTAGCTTCCCTCAAAAGGCTTGTAGACTCACGAAGTCATCAAAAAGGAATGAAGACACTAAACGCATATTATGTAGAAGGAGAAAAGTAAAGGGAGGAAGGAAATGGGCAAATAGGTTCAATCCGTAACTGAAAGCAGGAAAGTAAGAAAGAAAAACATAAAGCAAGGGAATCTGGTAATCCTACAGCTACTAAGCTGCTACTAAGACTACTCCGTCTTAGGGCTAGGAGTTAAAGCGCGGCGTAACGGGGGTTGTCAGCGTAACTGCTGGTGCTCTAATCTGAGCTGAGAGATAGGAACTGCACTTCGACTTGATTTATTCTACTATATTCTCCCCTCTCTAACCCAAGTCCTAGAAGTGAATGAGGAAGGCTTGCCTGGAAAGAATTTTGAGTGTGAATTTTCACTAGTGCTGTGCTTACTCCTTAGTGGTAGAGTTTGCCAGAAAAGCAAAGCCTTAGAGTTCTAGCGGGGTTGCT